GCGTCTGTATTTTTTAAAGATGCATTTTAAATCCAGAACTTTGTTTAGTGCATGTACTTTTCAAAGTTGCTAGTGGAGAAGGGTTATAAATAGAGTAATACTAAATAGGTGCTGAAAATAATAAGGTATTACCTTTAATCAGTTCAATAAAATGTGGAGAATAGATTTTTCTCTATTTCTTCCCTTGATATAGTTTAATTTCCTATAAATTGACAGTTGCAGATCTATGAATTATGAATTTAACATTGTCATGCTGCAATTTCCTGCAAAATCCTCTTCTCCATGATTTGATTTCAGTTGCATTTCATTTTGAAAAACAACTTCTTTGCAGATAATCCTGCCTGAGAAAATGGGATTTGCTATGGAACTTTTTAAGCTGTAGTTGATCATAGCAGTTAATTTATAGAGCAGAAAAAAGGAACCTGTACTTTTTATTTAGGGAAGCAGTTGGCTTATTTTTGTAATTAGTGTCCAGCAAAATTTTACTGAAATTTTGGTGGTTTTGCCTGCTATGAATGTGACATATTGTGATGGCTAAGCTAAGCTTTCAAGTCAAATGCTTTCATAATTATTTATGTGGCTTTTTAAAGCACATCATAGACTCATTTAGATTAGAAAGGACCTGGAAGAAAGATCAAGTCCAGCCATAAACCCAGCACTGCCAAATCCACCAAATCATAGCAAGGAAATAACATCCTGTAAAAAATGAGCTCAGCAGTATCTTTTCATTGCACATGCTATGGAGTGCTTGGCATAAAATCTAATTCAAAAAGCAAAAATATCACTTTCAGTGCATAAAAACTACTTAATCTGTAAGAAACTTTTTCAGTAATGGAAAATATATCTGAGGAACAATTATGAATAGGATATAGTCTGTTTTTTCAAAAATATTATGCCTTAAGATAAAACATAAATTATGAACAGGTAATGTATTTGCTCACATGACTGTGTGATAACATGGGAAGAAAGGGACAAGAAGTATGGATGAGTATGCATATTATGGTTGTTTATATTATTTTAAATAGTAAGAAAATATTGAGTCTTGAACACGTCCATACTTGGGAGCTTTGTATCATAGATTTCTTAAAATAATTGATGATTTTTCATGGGGTATTAACTGAATGTAACTGAACATTAAAATATACTTCAAATGTTAGAAATAAGAATTGTTATGCAAGTGTAGCATATTTTTGTCTTGCATTAATGTGTTGTGGATTTTTCTTGGCACATGGTAGTAGCTTTTCTTTAAATTACAGCACATGTAAATTAAAATAGCACTATCATACTTAATTAGAAGATGCATAAATTGATCCACTAAATAGATCCTTTTTTTATTTCTCCAGTCTTGGACACTCCTTAGCCTGTTCATATGAAATAAGTGGTGGTGTTCAAGCACCCTGTGACTGAGCTGTGGACACTTTGCTCCCTGTCCCTCGATGGTGTGAGCCACTCAAAAGTGGTGATGATCTCGCAGTATCCAGCACTGGTGCAGCCTCCCCCTCCAGTGCTGTGTGCAGTTCTGGGCTGCACAGATGAAGAAAGATATGAAGGTCCTTGAAAGTGTCCAGAGGAGAGAGCAAGGCTGTTGACAGCATTGAGAGGCATGTCCTGTGAGCTGTGGCTGTGGGCTCCAAGCTTGTCTGGTTTGGAGGAAAGGAGACTGGGGGGTGACCTCTTACAGCTTCCTGAGGAGGGGAAATAGTGATGGCCTGATCTCTTACCCCTGGGGCACAGTGATACAACATGTGGGAAGGGTGCAAAGCTGCACAAGAGGAGGTTCAGGCTGGACATCAGGAAGCATTTATCAAGGACATGTTCAAACACTAAAGCAGGACTCTGAGAGATGTGGCTGATGCCCCAAACTTGTTGGTGTTTTTGGACAATGCCTTTAACTTTAACTTTGAATTGGTCAGGCAGTTAGTCGAGATGATCACTGTAGGTTCCTTCCAGCTGAAATGCTCTTTTCTCTGTTAATGGTGTTTTAAAACAACAGTTGAGGTGGTCAATATTATTATTACTATTATTATTATTATTAATCCTCTGACTTGTCCTTTTTCTGTTTAATCCCACTGTCTTTCCTTATGTCATTTCTGAAGTTTGTCACATGTAGTATCTTGCCAGGGAGGATCAGGTTGGATATTAGGAAAAATTTCTTCACTGAAAGGGGTTAATAATTAGAACAGGCTGCCCAGGAAAATGGTGGAATTGCCATCCCAGGAGGTGTTCAATGAACAGATGTGTCGCAATGAACAGAATGAACAGACATGTCGCTTTTTGATGTGGCTTAGTGGACATGGTGGTACTCAGTTGAAGACTGGACTTGAAAATCCTGGGGGTCTTTTCCAGCTGTGATTTTGGGCAGCAGTATATAGTGTTGTGTATTCTGAGAAAAGACCCTTTAGTGTTGAATATTTTTTCATCTTTCTGTGTCCATTAGTTTAGGTCATCATTTCTCAGGCAAAGCTGTCTTTGCAAATCAGGAGTACTTCTTCTCTGAGTTGGAGTACCTGTGTCTCAGACATTCTATGAACACGATGCAGCCATAACATGTCATCTTATTCAAGTAGTGGTGAAAGGACTTGTAGCCAGAAGAGACTAAAAGTGCCAAAAATGACCCTAAACTTCGTTAATATTTTTATTAAGATTTTTGTAACAGTGAGGTAGCAGATGAAGGGGAGTGAGGATTGGTTTAGATTTTTACAACCTAGGTAAGTTTTGCAGGCAGGAATTAATTTGCAGCAACATACTGGGAATTTTACAGTAATCAGCAGTGAATTTTAGGCAAAGATCTGTACGTGTGTACCTTGGGTGTTTAGTTTTATAAACATTCTGTGGCTGTGTGGTAGCTGAAGCCTTCTGGGGTGTGCAGGAGAAACCTGAACACTGTACTTTGTGATCAGTTGTAACTGTATTCCAAGCAAGTTCATATTCTCACAGAAATTGGTGGAAAAACCTACTTCTGTGGTTTCTATATTATTTTAAAACTGCCAATTTATCAAGTGAATTTTCTTGAAATTTCCATGCTTATTAAATTTCAGATTATGTATTTTGAGTAAGCTGGAAACTTAAACTTGTTTCCATAAGTATTGCTGCAGGTAAACAACCAATTTTAGTCCAGAAAATAGCTTTTGCTTCTGTCAACATGTTGTTTATTTTCTCCCTGAGATAAAAAGTTCGGTTTTCTGATATTTGTACCAAGATAAAGTCTGTAAACAAGATTAATATAGTGTGGAAAAGGTTGTCAGCAGCCCTGGCAAAGGAAATAAGTTGCCTGTACACAGAACATACTGTAAACTGAATAAAAGTGTCAGGTCCACCATGAGATAATGTGATCATGAACCTCTAACAAAGCATGACATAGGCACAGTCTGCTTTTCTTATAGCCACAGTGTAGAAAATGGATTACTGTATTCCAGGGATACCCACTGGAATAGCATGAAAACCTCATTTTGAGATTAATGCAGGATATAACTCTCAAGAGCTGAGCTGCATGCTTACTTGTAGTTTTAAAGTAACAGTTTAGTTATGAATCTTAAAATTTGGAAATTACATATTAAAATATTGGCTTATATTTCCAGGTCTGTCTTTGTGAATGGCCATTTCTCAGTTTTATTATTAGATGAACTATGTCATTGAAACAGTAGCATTTGGTCAGTGTTTTATTATCCTGTGGCTGTGTAAGGCCTTGATCAGTCTAGTAAAACAGTAAATTCCAACTGGGAATAAAGCAGTAGCTGCTGTTCTCCCATGTAGCGGCTCTGATTTCCTCTACTATGATTTGTATGTTTGCATAGATTTTTCAGAGGTAAAGTATTACCAATTCTTTTCAATCCACATCAGCCAGAAAAGTGACAACACTTTATTGTTTCTCAATTCAGCCCAGAGTGACATCATTCTTGAGGTCAAAGAAGCAGATTTTGGTCAAATACTTTAACCATGTGGAGCTTTCAAATTACTCAGTGAGCACTCTTTGAAAGCCTTCCAGACTTGGAGCTCTGACTGCCCTGCCTTTTCTCCATTACAACACCAAATTAATAGGTTTTACTTAGAGCGTTGAGCTCATTGTTCTTCTAATAATGAGTAGGCTGCTTTTCTCCATGAATCTCCAGTTTATGTACTTTTGGCAAGCCTGAGCCATATAAATGTATTACCACTGAGTTTTTGTGGTCTCCGGATAAAACTGGAAGAACATCTGACTTCATTCCCACCTCTGGTTATCTCCTGACTATAAAATTATCTCCATGGAATGGAAAGTTTGTTCCTTCATTATTTTCATCAGAGTAGTTTGCCTGCTGCTCTGCTTCCTTGAGCATGTCTATCATGAGTTGTCTCTTATTCTTCTACTTTTGCCAATCTACATACGCACCTGAATTAAGCATTTTGCAAAAATAAAAGCAAAGCTGTTTGAATTCATTCTTGAACAATATCAGAATGTCTTCATCTGCAAAAGTCTGCACGTGCTTTCATGCATTCTGAAGATCATTGTTCAATTTAGGATATCATGTATTTTAGGTTTCAGTGTATGTAAAGCCATTAGAGAAGGACTACAGTATAGTTTGGTAAAAATTAATTTTACCTTTGCTTTCTAGTCCATGTCAACTTGAATTTCTAAAGCTTTGTGTTGGGAGGTGTTTCTTTTAATAAATGCATTGCTGTATGAGCCATAAATAAGGACAGTATGTTGTCTATGATTTTCAAAGCATCAAACTTTCCTTTTTTTGGAGGTAAAGTACTTTATGGACTTGACAGAAAGGTAACTTAGGTCCTTGAAATCTCTAAATGTCTTTATGTCTGACATCTAACCAGAATTGCACATAAAGGATTTTCCTTCATCTCATATAGCACTTTTTGCTCTCAGACTTTACTTAAAAATTGCAGATGTTGCTAATTGCATTTACTCTATCTAGTATACTGTCTCTATTTTTTATTTAGTGTTTGTGGTGTATTTTCTTAATAAGCAATTAGTCAAAGACTTATTTTTTCCTTCATGTTTTCACTAGATAACTCCAGGACCAGGTGGTAGCAGGAAAACAGTTCACTTGTCCCAGGATTCTCTTCATCATGAGTGAGTATCAGTGACAGGAGTTAAACTTTTTTGTTTTTATATGCTTTACAATGGTACCTCTGCCCCAAAGCCACATTTTACAGCTGCACAAACGTGTGATGAGAGCCTCAGCTCAGTAACATGATGGTCTTTATTTAATAATAAATATTTATTCAACAATAGTACTTACAATCCTTTTTATTTCATTTTCTATTTCTTAAGGAAACATAAAATTCAGTGCTTTGTAAACGTGTTTTTATTAACTTTCTAAGTATCCTTTCCTAAAATACAAACTTGTTTAAGGCTGGATAGCAGAAATGGGATGTGTGAAAATACATAAGCATCACATCTTTGAGTCTTTCATGTGATGTATCATGTGAGGAAGAAGTTTATCATAACTTTTACAAAAATATATTGAATTCATTGTTTTAACACCTGTAAATAATAGAAAGTGTAATTAACTTTGTTTAGTTACTCTAGTGTGTCATTACTGTAAACTTCTCTTCAGCTGACAACACTTAACAGCATTATTTGTTAGTTACCTCATTGGAATACTTAGAAGATTACATTTTCCTTTATTTTTCAAATCAAAACTAAAACACAGACATACAGGATGAGGAAATAGTATATTTGGAGATTGATTTATGTGTTTTAACTGCTACTAGATAGATCATCCAAGTTTAAAACAAAACTTGCCAAAGCAGAGATACTACAGCTCCTCAGTACCAACTGTTTTACACCACTAATCCACCTGTTTCATCTCATAACTTGATAATGTGTGTGTAAATTCAAGAAGTTTTGATTTCATAAGTTTTTTCTACCATTAAGTAATTTAACTGTTACATTATGGGCTTTACTTTTGCTTGTTTTAAAAGAAACAAGCAAACAAATAATGCTGTAATTAAGGGAATGGACAAAAAGGTAAAAATCAGTGTGATGTATCACTTTTGCATTAGAAAAGGTCTTATTCTTTTTGAAGGGTTTTTAATATCTAAATATGAGATGCATTCAACTTACTCTGATGTATTTTTTCACTAGAAATATGCTTTACTGATCATTTAGTCTGTAATTAACTGGTTTGCCGTGACCCACAAGAGTTACTGTGTAGGATACCCCAGTTTGCTGCTGCTCCTTGAGCATTTGCTGTTCACATTGGTTAGATACAAGACACTCATCTATGTAGAATTTAAATCTAACCCATTATATTTCTGATTTTCATCAGCCCCTGGATGTTTGCAACCTTATTTGTTGAATCACTTGCAAATGTGATGTTTTTACTTTTCATTCACTACCAGCATCAAAGTTGTGTGTAGATAAAATCTCCCAGTTTTCACCAGATTTTGAACTACTGAATGCAGTTGATGAGTATTTCGTGTCCAAAATATATAGATATCTGCCTTGTCTCAAGGTTTACTTTTGACTTTATTGCTGTCATCTCTTTTTCATTTCCAACTCCTTTTCCTTAATCGCCAAGCAGAAAAAGTAGTATGGATGTTTTGGTGACAGCTTGTCTTTTATGCAAGAATGAGAGGGTTGACTGCTTATTATCAAACTCAGAAAAGCTAAGTGACAAAAAGCCACAAAACTTTCAGATGTGTGACTTGAAAATAAGAGGGATTTAAACCAGACAGTTTCATGGAATCAGAATTTTTTCAATATACTAATTGAAATAAAAATGTAAATGGCTGCTTGGGGGAGAACATGGGACTAAGTTATATTGAATGGAATTGTTTAAGAAGAAGCATAGATAGGTTAAGCTGTGATCTTTGGTTACACTTCTAGAGGAATATGCAAGCACAGTAGCAGACAGTGGGATGCTCTTTTTTTGTGCAATATTGCAATGGATGGAATTATTTTATTCTTTGACCGAAGCCTGTTGCTTGCCTACGCATGTCATGCTTTTTCTGCTAGTGAGGGAAGAGGCACATTGTGACACCCCTGTGTGTCAAAATCTTACTCCAAATTTCCATCTCTGTGAAATAAGGCCATCAGTAGTCACAATTTTGCAGTTGTATGGAGATACAAACTCACTGGGTTTTCAGACTTGACATTTCACTTTAGATTCAAAGTCTGACCTCATTTTTTGAAATAATACATTAACAGCAATCAGGTAGTCCAAACCGCTTTAAAGTCTTTTCAGCTATAACCATCAATAAGTATTACTTCAGTACTAAATAAGGAATTACTCTAATTTATGGCATGTGCATTGTAGTATATTAAAATACCATCATTTACGTATTATTTTAGCTTGTTTGACAAAATATAATTACCTATAAAGCCGGCAGCTACTCAGAAGTGAAATCTGTGATGCATTCTTTCAGAACTGTTACCAACTTTGAGTTCAATAAAAGTACCCCATTAAAATAAACCATGGCCAAAGGCTGTATTTTCCTGGCAGGCAATAAAATACCCAAAAGCACGCACAGACTGGTCATATGACAGCATGTGCTTTGTTAGTTATATTGTTAAACCTGTCTTTTCTTTTTCTCCCACAGTCACTGGTTTAGCCCTGGGGCTAGGAAGGAACATAGCCAGGTAAGAACTGCTTTGATCAAGAACAGTTTACTTGAGATGTATAAAGAACTTTAACTACCTCTGCTCCAGAGGTAGCGGGCTAATACTTTAAGAAATTGTAAATAAAGCAAGTCTAATTTCATATCTTCTTGTAAGCAAGCATACTAACAGCAGTGCATTTCCAAAATTCTCTTGATTAAAACTCTTTAATTAGTCACTTAATTTCACTTAAGTATTCTTGAGGTTTTAACATCCAAATGAAAATTCTGTTTTGTTTTTTTTTAGTCATTTTGTCAATTGTGGTATCTCTCCTTTCTCAAAATGCTGGAAAGCAAAACATTTCACTCCCAAAATCAAGAAATGCAGAACTAGTTACACAAGTGGGGAGGCTTCTACATCAAGATCTTCAATTCCATTTTTCTGCATTTCATTGGTTACAATGAATACAGCAGTAAAAAAAGGGAGCTGTTAAATCTCCATCGTGGTTCTGATATTGGTAAAAATACCTTATTAGTTTGTCTGCTGAGCCCCTGCAGTGCAGTCCCTGGGAGATCCAAGCCTATAGATATGGTTGCAGGAGTGTGAAGCCATATTTAATATTTGATTAGTAGCATGGCACTTAGTTCTTTAGCTTGTCTTCAGACATGGAGGATAAATATCTTTATGGATGGAAGTATGGTCTAAGCAGAACTTACTGTCCAAGACTATAAAATGTGAAAATAAATCTGGTCTCATTTCATCAATGTATAATTAACTTCAGCTATTCAGGAAAAGTAGCTGAATGTACCATCAATGCATTGAAATTTAACACAAATGTTCCATTTCTTTAAGTTGGAAGGAATTGCTATAAGAGTTGATTTCCTTAGATCTGTGCCAATTTTCTGGTACTTTTGCAAATGTAAATAGATTTGAAACTTAAAAAGGAAATAAAATCTAAAGAGTCTTTGGACGGTTCATTTTAGGATGATCCATTTTGATCACTCGTAGCTCCTGTAAGTCATATTTTAAATCTTTCCTGTTCCCTCCCCTTTCTTTTTAACTCCAGAGCAAACAATACTGCTTACCCAAAACAGGCAGAGTAGATAAAACATGGTAGTTTTAGCTGTAAATTGTGAGATTCCAGCATGTTACAATAAGCGTTGTAGACAGCTTTATATAATTCATATTTAATGGTCATTATTTTGAAATAAATTTCCTAGTGGAAGAAAAACCTAAAAAAGCATTCGATTACTACAAGTTTGAGTAATTTTTTTTCAATATATTTAAAATATTGATCGTCTCATGTAACAGGGTTAATTGAAGTTGTACTGTTTACTTCCTTAAAAGATTCTAAGCCAAAAAATAAGGAAATTTCCACAATGGGAAGTACCTTAATGTAAATCATACATGCCAGCACTGTATTTCAGCCTAGAAGATGAGAAATGTCTGCTTAGCTGGTATAAAGTGACTTAATCAATTTTTCTCAGAAAATAGTAAATTTGAATTAATTTTGTATTTTACATGGAGTTTTTCATCTTTCCTAAGAGCTATGTTTTTAGAGCTTATTAGAAGTTAACTGAATTTGTAACTTACAGATTACTAAGGAATTGTGAAGTAAAGTTAATGTTGCAAATTACAGATGTTGCTGGTGCCTAATGGGTTTGAGATTTTTTTTTTAAATCAGAAGAAGAAAAGAAGTGAATGTGATGGTGTAATTGTAATTTTGACAACCAATGAAATTCTCACGGAATTTATTTATATGATAAATTATTTTATTGCATCTGAGAGCTAGGTAGTTGAAATGACAAGAAACATTCCTTGTACAAGAGGGAAGCTGTAGAGAGTTTGGGGAAAACTCTTCAGTTTTTCAGATTGACGGCATTTTTTGGAGTCTGTTCTCATTTACCACATTAAGGTGTGGTTGGCCAAGTCTTAAAGTTGATCATTTACTAATTTCCATGGAATTTTTAGGTGTCTTTGCTGTGAATATTAGTTCCATTTACCTCTAATTTGATTCTAAACAGTCTTTCATTCTATTTTTCCTTCAGTATATGAGACATTTCCAGCAACGTTTGTGGGGATTTTATACTGTCCAGTTTTAATTTCTGTAGTATAGCATTCTGATGGTTGTTTTTACTTAGCACATCCTGACTCATCTAATAAATATCATAATGGTGGGAATGCACTTTTGAGTGTTGGAGATAATCTGAATGAAAAGTCTTACTTGTCTAAAAATAAAAATAAATGACAGCTTGTTTCAGAAGCTGAGTCACCATTTCAGTTAAACAAATCCTTCGCTACTCCTACGTCCTCACTATTACAGGAAACTTTAATACTGGTTTTTTTTGTTGATTCTGCAGCTTGCAAATTACTAAAGCTCCTGGGGCTTAGAAGAGTTTATAACTGTTTAATAACTGCTTAGACACAAGTGCTAACCTGAGTAGTTTTTTTGTAAATTAAGTGTCCTCCAACACTTCCAATTATACAACTTCAAAAATTCAAATTGAAATTGTGAAAATTATAAAATTTTACATATAAGTTAATTGTGAAATTGTGAATTGCATAACTTTCTATTATGCTTTGAAAATGCTTTAATTTTTACATTTTCAATTATTTAGGCATTTTAAATTTGTGGATATATATATTTACATATTAACTACTATTGTAAAATTCTATTAATACTCATCTCAAAAGTCACGAGTGAAAGCTATCAACAGATTACTCAAGAGAGGAAATAACTTCACTGTCTGGATAGAAATTCTAAAGTGCAAATAAAAGCCATTGTTTGTGAGACTCTTCTGAACATTTTTTTTTTTTAACAGCTTCAGCTGTTGCGAGACAACCGCTCAGAGAGGGGACACAAGAAGAACAGCTCTGTAAAAACAGCCAGCAGGTAAGTTAATATGGTAATTGCCTTTAGTAGAGTTTATGAATTTGTTGATTCCTCAAATCTTTATATAAAATTTACGCTACTCTTTTGGAGTATTTTCAAAAGTGGTCTGGGTTTTTTTGTGACTTACTTTCAAGAATTTTTTTGCATGGCATAATCTTTGCCTTATATATGAGTATTAGACCTTTTTTTTGGCTGTGCAACTGCACTTACCAAACTTAATCACTTTAGAACATCAGAATTAAATCAATGCCAAAATAAGGTTTGTGCTTCTGGCATGTAAATTAAGCACTGAAAACATATAAAATTACATTATGCATATCTGAAATCAAGAAGATAACTCAAATACTATTAAACTTAAATTGTTCTTTTATTTTGACAATAAACATTTCATTGTGAAGATGTAATGAAAAAATAAATCTAGTTCTATTCTCCATCTTCTTTCCCTCCCCTCAAAAGACAAAAAATGCAGGACTGAACTTACTGATCTAGGAGTCTCTTTCTAGAGGGGTTTTTTATGTACAAGTTGCCTGCTCAATGTAGTCTACCAAACAGTTATTTTAATTCTAGCTTTTTTTTCAAATCAGAAACTACAGAAATGTTTCTCTTGCTGTTCACAACACCTTACACAATTTTTATGTTGTCCTGTAAAGATGGCAGTGTGCTACCAAATGGCTTTCTTCAAAAAGCTGTAATAAATTTATATGAGCGTGTAATTCTGTTGTATCACTTGAGATAATTTTCTGTTAGTCAGTTGACTTTTGGTATATATGTGGTCACCCCAACCAAAGTTTTTAATATTCTTTGCTACTTACCTTGCTGATTATCTGGAAAAGGAGACCAATATTTTTTTTAAAATGTGCATATTAAATAGGAATCTTTCATTGTGTACTAGTGCTGGTTACATGCTCTCAAACATAGATTACAGAAGTGTCAGCCATTCATCTATAGAAATTTTGATTATCTTAACCTATCAAGCCTTTTATATTAAAATTCTTAAAATTTCTGCACAGATTTTCTGGCAAGTTTACTTATTAAATGATAATTTTCACTCTGAATTTTAGAATGAATTCACTTTAGATAGAATTTTCACCATAAATGCACTCTTACTATCAGACTCACACAAAACTGAGAGTTTAAAGTGACTATAAAGTGAGCAGTTAGAATATATTCAGAGTCATTTTAGCATATTTTTTTTTTGCTGTAGCAAAGTAAAGCAGAGTTTGAGGATTTCAGAATCATAAGTTATGTTTCTTATCCTAACCAGTGAAGCTCTTGGGAACTGATATTTACTAGTACAGGCAGTTAGAATCAAGATTTATAAAATGGCCTTGAAAACCTGAAGTCATCTTCAACTGCTTTTCATATCCAGTTAACAGTATCTTAATAGACTCTTATCCCAATAAACACGTGGCAGGTTTGTGTAGGAGTAATAGGTGGCAAAACCAAGACCGAAGCTTAGCATTTTCCAAAAATTATCTGTATTGTTCAAGTAGTGCTTACATAAACTAATATTGCAATGCATTACAATGTACATAAAAGCCACAGTCTAGATTCATCCAAATGAACCAGGTTATTTCAAAATTATTTATGCTCTTTCAGAAAATCACTATTCTCTGGCTACCATAGAAACTTGAAGTGACTTCAAAGAAAAATATCAAACTATAAGTCATATTTTTAATAGGCTGTCTTAGAATCTGAAAGCATGCAGTCTTGTTTACAAGATATATAATAAAAATATTGGGACACTACAAGTTAATACAGATGATTATCCCCTTAAAAAGATGCATACAAAAAGTAGTGGCTGCGACCTTTTATTTCCTTATTCTTTGTTGCTAAATGCAGTGAGAGTACAGCAATAGTGGACAGCTTTTGGACACTCTATAAAATTATTGTAGTTATCCAGAATATTGTCTAATCTGTTTTGGTTTTTTTTGGTTGGTTGGTTGTTTTTTTTGCAAGACTGAATTTCTCTGGGTCTTTTTTATATAGGTTTCAGGTATCTGTATTTCTTGTTTGTTTGCCATTCTGAAGAACTTGTTTCTGTTATTCGTATGTGTATTGAGATGTGTAATTTTTCTATGCTTGCCTTGACTTTTCTTACCCCTTTTGGATGACTGAACACAATTCTTTTCTCAGCATGTAGACAATATGTAAATACCCTTATTACATTAGATCAGTGACTTGTGGAGTAATTTACTTTGTAAGTACATCAGAAAGGTGTGGAGCTCTAAGCATGGCAGTGGTCTGCAGCTGTCTCGTTGTGGTGGAATCATACTGTCTGGGATGAGCTTTATTGTACTGGGTTTAATGTCTTAGGTTTCTTCTGTCAAAATTAATGATAATTATCTAATACAGTACAAACTAACATGAACTTTGGCTAGTGGCAAGATAGTCAGATTGTAGACAGCTGTTGATATGGCTACTGATGGACCAGATGTTAAGGAGGGAGACAGTCCTGCACCACAAAACTTAGAATCAGGATGGATTATATTACATTGTTATATTACAGTTCATTATATCTGTCTGTTAATGCTACCTATACATGTAAGATTTAATCTGCAGGTACAAAGTTTTTCCATTCATTATTTAAATTATTAACAGTACTGAAAAATACTTTTTTAAAAGCTGTGTTTCCTTCTGTAAAGCCTTGAAAAAGTTCTCTGTTTACATTATCTCTCTGCATTAGGATGGAAACAGTCTCCTCCCCAAAATCAGCTACACTGCTTAAAGGTGGTAGATAATTCTTCCAGCTGCTTGTTTTCACCCCCTTGTTTTGTCAGTAGAGAAGGGGTTTTTTTCTGAATTTTTTTAATACGCTTTGGGGAAAACCAGCCTGGTTAGCTCTACTCACCTATTTAAATTAAATTGGCTGGTTTTGAACAAACCATATTAAGGCATGCTTACATGATTTCTTCCTCCAGCAGAGCTGTGGAGATGATAATCTCCAGCAGATGTGTGATAACAAATAGCTTGGGATAGTAATGTCTTCATCTGGCACAGTTGTTAGCAGACCAAATGTCTGTCTGTAGCCCGAGGCTCTGGGCAAACAATTGCACATGATTGAGTTACGGGGAGTTAACAAGTTGCTGCTTGGCAGCTGAACTGCCAGAGCTGATCATGGGCTCTTTGCCTGCTTCCCTCATAAGGTAAAATACATTTTCTTAGGTCACTTCCTTAAAATTTTACCAAAAAAAAAAAATTTACCTAAAGGAGATTCCCCATGGCTAAGAGATTCCTTTGATTAGCAGTGGGGACAGTGTTGAAGGATATTTTGCTGAACTGTTGTAATGTGATTTTGAACTGTGTGATTGCATTGTTAACTTTGGGGGGGCGGGGGGCAGGGAGCCTCCATCACACAACTGTCTCCCTGTCTTTAAATACATAATGTACTTATCCTCACACTACCCTTATGAAGAGGGGAAGTACCTTTGTCCTCATTTGACAGAACAACCAGAATATTTAACCAACTTAATATTTTGCCTTTGGTCATACATGCCGTAACTAGGTAATTTATGCTGTAGTCTGGAAGCAAGAGAATTGCAGGTTAGGAAAACCGCGGACGCTGAATAACTTACTCTCTTGTAATTATTTCCTTTACAGAGAGGTCTTGTGTCATATTTCTTTTGTAGTGTGATCCTGTTAAGTACCATGAGTTATTTTATCTACAAATTTATTTTTTCTTACTGTACTGTAACTAAAATTTGGTACATGCCTGAATTGAGAAACTGAAAGGAAAATAGCACCCAAATTTTTACCATTTAGTAGTTTTTTGGGGTTGAATCTTGATAATTCTGTATTGGCTTTCCACATGCCAATGTTCCCCCATAGGCCTCTAAGGTGGGGAAGGGGGGAAAAAAAATCTACTTTTAGTTCCTATGCAGTTGAGTCCTGGCTTGAAAGAAGGCTAAGTTATTCTTATGAAAGTGGTTTCAAGGTGGAGTAGAATTTTACATGTCAGGTTTCAGCTACCTAACTGAGGCTGCGTTAAGAATTTAATCAATGTGTACCAGTCCTCAGAGATCACCTGAACTGGCCAGGAGTCTCTGAAGTCTTCTCCTGCCATGGTGAACAACACAGACTGAAATTCCCCGTGTTTTTTGCAACCCTCGCTTTCCCTCCTTTCCCTAATTGTTCTCAGTCCAGTTTAAATTTGTGCCTTGCGCTGATACACAAGGATGACTCTTGCATGCTTTCACTTCTTTTAACTGTGTCCTCTGTTAATTAGTATTTATAGAAAGCTTGTAAGAGAAAAAATTACACCAAACCTGAGGAGAGCTTTTTAAAAGTGTGTCATTGTTGTGGTCAAAATTGCAGCTTTCTGTCTCTCCCGGTTTTAATGGATAAACCTTATTTGTGCATTTGTACAGCACTTGTTCATCTCCATCTGATGATACAGAACATGGTACTTTTTTACACAGATGTGACAAATAACATTGCAGCTGCTCTTTATTTGATCATCTAAAGAGACAAAGATGTGCAAGGATTCTGTCTGCTCCCTCTTTCCCATCGTGTCATCTGTTGTTTGGGAAAGAGTCCTAATTTGCAACAGATACAAAACTATTTGTCGAGGTGCAGGTTTGCCAAAAATAAATGAAACCATTAATTACTACATTTTTTGAGCAGCTGTTAATGGATTGGGATAAGAAAACTGTACATTAGACCACTGGTTAATTACAAGAACTGTAATTGTTTAATGTGGCTTTTGTGGAATGAAATTACAATACCAGAGGAGGTAAATTCAGCCAGTTTTTGGAAATTATACACAAACACGTGCACATACTTACACTTCAGAAAAGCAAAGGAATGCATAGCTGTTTTATTAGGTGATCTGCTTCTGCCATCACATGAACACACATTCTCAACAAAAATACTTTAAAATAAAGTCATATTTAAACACACCTTTTAATTCAAATGTAAAATTATTAAAGGTAGTAAGCTAATGTCTTGTAACCCCAGAGCTAATAATGCAGGAGATTCAGATACAACATTAAAATCCAAATGTGTTTACATCATTAGAAATTAACAACTAAGCAGTTTTATCTCCTCTTTGGAGTGCCATGAAGCAGTAACTGTGCTGTTATGATTGCTGCTTAATAATATTTGCAGTTCCAGATTAAATTATGTGAATGTTTGAGGACACATTGCTTCCCTCCCTTGCTGTCACCCTCAGGGACAACATTATTCCATCAGTTTGGTATTTTTCTTCTCTGGAAAGGATAAAAGATGGTGCCGTTTTGGGAGAGGGAAATTACTGATTGAGTTTTCTCTACCATGGTGTCTTATTTTTAAGGTGCTGAGAAGATGTTCACTTGGGAGAGGAGGACAGGGTGATGACAGTTGAATTGTTGTTCCAAAATGTAGCCAGTGTGTGATGCTTTAATTTTATGGAAATCTTCAAGCCTCAGTAGTGGTTCATGGCTAGATTTAAAGTACCTATTGAATAAATGCTGATTAGTCACCTAATGCCTTGAAAGTATTACCTTTTAACTTGCATAATGAGATCTTTTGTAAAAATATCTCATTATTTATTATATTATTTATTTATATATATTATATATATAATATATATTATATTATAATTTATTATTATTATTTATAGCAGAAATTTTAAACTGTGCTCTGTTTTACAAATACATTTTTCCATGTAATCTGAGCAGATTTTTTTTCCAGCTTTAATGCAAAACTACAAGCTGAATTTTGTTGTTTTTGCACTAGGATCTAATATACTTTATAAGGAACATAAACAAGCTACTACATGGCACTGAAAATTTGTCATTTTAAATTGAATTCCAGGTAGGAGAGTACGTTAACTAACAAGCAGTTATGTTTTCCTGATTTTAAAAACATATAAAGTAAAAAGAAAAATCAGATAACCTCTAGAAGTTATGTACCTCTGGATCCTCCTGATGTACTATCTGGATTGAATTTTTCACCTGGATGAACTGATAGCAAATTTCTCACTTTGAAGTAACCAAATTTTAGCACATGTTGTGCTTGTTTGTCACCTTCAGCTGCATTAGATGCTGTATCTTGTTCTCTTTTTGCATAAGTTTGTGCTCCACAGCTCAAACTTTGTTTGTCTCATCTTACCTATTAAAGTGCTAATGGCATAAGGATAATTTGTGCTTCAGAGGTCTGAAGACCCTTCCTGCTGTGTAAGGTCTGAGGAGGAGCTGTGCACGGGGTCTTGCACTGTCATTCCACAAACTGTTTAACTGGTTTAACTGTGGTTAAGCAGCTCTGCAGTGAAGGTGGTTGTTTTGCACTCTGGTTTTCCACCAACCAATTGTCCCATCATCTCCCCACCATGAGAAATTTGGTTTTATCTCTGTGTTTCTTCACAGAGACACATGAAAGCTGGATGTTATAAGGATGAAGATGAATAGCTGTGCATGATTTTGTGTAGTGAGATAAAGAGTTTAGAAGAAAATTTGGATAGTTTGCTTCAAGTTACATAAAACTTTAATCTTTTTTCTTTCATTTTTGAGCTACTGTATTACACATGTGGATTTTTTAGTGTTGCTTCTTATGCTTTACCTATTTTAAAAGATTTTTAACACAACACTAACGCTTGCAGTAATTTAACCTAGATTTTTAACACAACACTAACGCTTGCAGTAATTTAACCTAACTCTATATGACTGTAATCCTTAATTTTAAAATGTTTTTTTTAAAAATCTGTTCAAAAAAATACATTTGTTCTGTACTGAGCTTATTTAGTGAATATCATTCTTGGTAAACAAACATGTATCCAGAAATATCTGGAAGAAATAGTGTGGCTGAGTACATTATCAAGTCCTTCCATTAAAGTATCTGTTCATATCCATGTTTACTGCTCAAGTCATAAAGATATTTTCTAAATCACTTCAGAGCTGGATTAAGGCCCATCTCTCTCAAACAGCATCAAGGTTGTTGCAACATGAAGAAGCAACCAAAGAATATTTGTTTTAGAATTTGTAGAACAATATTTTCCTGTAACAGGATGACATTCTATTACTGACCTATTTTCAAACTACATTTCACCATTGCACAAATATGAGCTTTATTGTTATCATCTATTTCTTCACACAAAACAGTAATGGAACTTGCCATCAAAAATGTTTAGAAATATTCTAAATTAATATGAAATTTATATTCTAAGTTAGTGTAAATATTAATTTCCTGTACTGAAAATGTGAAATCATGTCATTTGTTGAAGAAAGCTTAAAGTTTTTGCTATCTAATTCTTGACAGAAGTCTAGTTTTTGGGTTTATGCCTTCAGTGTTCCTTGGTGACTTGTTTGTACACCAAGATATTGGTTTGGATTTGCCTTTGTGTAATTCATATACTTTTGATCAATTCCAACTCATGCCCAATTATATTACACTAAATTAACATAATTCAACAGATGTTGATATTTAAATGTTTTCTGGCATTCACATCTTGGACAGCTGTCTTAGAGCTTGGGGAAAAGGCAAACATTTAGAGTTAAATGCTGAACATATGCTTAAATTACTAATTAGAACCAAGAAAAAACAATGCATTATCCTTTCTGAGGGCAGTAGGCCTCTACTACTGAACTATTCTTTTAGGGTGGCTTTTCACAAATAAAGTGAATAAGTGACTTGAGTATGGGTGTAAAATCATACATAGTGATGCTGGTTTTTATTTTCCATCATATACGCTAAAATTATGCCAGTGTGGAGTTTAATGTGTTGATTTGTAGTGTTCAGATAAATTTTGGACAATTACTGTGTCTGAATGACTGAAGTGCTGCTAAAGATGACAGCAAGGAGTGTGTTAGGATATAGTGTTTATTAAGTGATGAGATAATCTCATGGGCCAGGGAAAAATCGTATTCTAGTCATTATAGGATTGCACCAGGACCTTCAATAATACAGGTATGTCACCCTTATGTTTGAAGTTATGTTGTGAAGAGATTGGCATTGTATGGAAGGAGTTTGATAGAGTTACATGGGTTTATCACATCATTTTAAGACGTAATAAAAGGGAAATAAAGTGCATAGCTCTTCTGGTTAATGTAATGGTTTTCACACTTTTAGAAGTAGGTGTAGCCATCTATCATACAGATGATGTAATTCTTTAGACAGGTGTGAAGAAAAGCTTTACTGTTTGTAAAGGATGAGGCGGAATCAAACATGGAACTGATTTCACCTGAATGTTGTCTGAGAGGAATGGCAAGAAAGCAAAAGAGCAAAAGAAGGCAGGTGAACAAGGAACCATCCCTCTCTAACTGTCCATGGGACATGTGCACTACTGCACATGCCACCCTTCTTTGGGTATTCAAGTAGACACCAGGGGCTGCATTCATGCTCTAACAAGCTGTGTACCACGAAGGAAAGAGGATGCCTTTCCTTATAAATTTCCTTAACCATTATTTTTCATATATTTTTTCTCAGAAACAAATGTGCCTTGCATATTTCACTGTGATACTATGAAATCATCATGCATCTGTTCTGTGGTTATATTGATACACATGCCAGAGGCAAAGATTAAGTATTCGTTATACCTAGATAATACAGGATAGTCTTCCCAAATTTACAGCCCCAGTTGCTTAGTACGTGTATTTGGAGTGATACATTTTAATTTAATCCTTACTTCTGGAGATTCAATCAGATGGAAATGTTGAATTTTATGTTTGCCTTAATTTAATTAGCTATTAGTGTTATGGGGTGTTTAGAAAGACATTTATAATAGGGTTTTAATGGTGTTTACCTCTAAATGTACCTAAGCTGTTCCGTTGACTCGGATGCTCTTGAAGCCATTGTCTTCCACTTGTGGTAATTTAGGAATGATCAGTAAGAGTTAAAGATCCTCCAGACTCCCTCATTTAAGCAGCACTAATGGATGTGTTCCACTGGCCACCAGATACAGCAGTGTCTGTATTTTAGCCATATAAAAACAAGAGGCTGTACTACAGGTCCATTCTGTGTAAGGAGAATCATTTAAGTGATATTTTTGTGTAAAAGGTACTTAAATAATGGGAGGTTTGCTCGGAGTATTCTTTGATTTTTATAAAGTTCAGCTGTTCCATACATTCTTTTTTTTAATCATTTTTTAATTTATTATTATTTATTAATATTATTATTTCCCTCAGTTCCACAATTGGGTTGTTTTCTCCTTCCGTAACTGCTTCTGTGAACATTGCTTCACAGCTCTTCTCCCTGCTCCTTTTCAGTTTGTAAGAAATTGTCCAGTAATGCCAAGCTTAAAGCTATCCCTACTGCATTCTCTCTGTAATCATATCCATATGAATATCTATTTTTTACCCATGTTTTAAGAGTGAGAACTGACAGTTTCAGTTAGATTTCCCTTTCAAAAAAATTCTCTCAAAAGAATTCTCCCTTCTAAAATACAAACTAGTTAACTTATTCCTTTTTGTGATGTCTTGTGAAAGAAGTTTATTTAAAAACTTTCATCAGTCCTCTCCATTAGCTGAAGCATTCAGTGGTGATAAACTTGCAGAGTTCTACAGCCATCTGCAGGAATGCACTGATACTGTGGCAGAACAGGGTGTCACTGTTTACTGTGTGTTTCTTCCTCAGGTGAGAGATGTTAATAGCATTATAATGGATAGGCATGTATTGATCATTACCAATTCATGTAATTTTGGAATAGAAATCAGTCTTCTTGAAAACATTATTACATCATAATAATATGCTGTATCAGAGTTTTCAAGTTAGTGGACACAAATTTGATAAATACTGTTAAACAAAATATGTTCCTCCATACCTGCCTTCATTAATAAATTTTGTTTTGTTTTTTTACACCTGGGATGATAGTGAGTACAGAAGCAGGTAATAAACCAGAGAACTAGAACACATGTTCAGGAGTATCTGCTATCCTACAGGCATTTTATTGTGTTTTTCTTCTCAGTGACTGGTGAACTTTTAACTCTGATAGGGGCAAGGGTGAAAACTACCAGTGAAAGAGTGAAGAACCCGTTGGGTCCTCAGTTGCTCAGTAGGTTTATTGCATTTAAAGCAGTTTAGCTGTAGGTTCCCATGCAGAACAAGATGTTTGTTTGGAGAATGTAGCCACATGACCCATGGACTGCAGAGGTCAGGGTAGATAAAAATCTGACATGGCCTGTTACAAAAGTCTTGGAGAGGTGAGTGTGTGTAACTGCTGAAAAGGCATTCATCCAAAATATTTGCCTGTGGAGCTATGAAAATTATGGAAAAACATTGTGTTGTATAGGCAGGTATATAAATGTTTGGGGAGCTTAAAGAGACAATTCTTGACATGTTACCATGGTAAGGGCAATTACCTTAATTACCTTGAGAGAAAGAAATTATAAAGGGACTGCCACTATTTAAGGAGGAAATAGCAAAGTTTCCATCAGAGGGAATGTTTCACAAAAATGCATAGATGCTTGTGAATTGCTTAATCGTTTGCATGTCATTGCTTCTATAAAAGTGTTTGCTTTATCAAATCTGTGGGGTTTATTTATGGGATTTAATAACTAAACTTTGTGGGGTTTATTTATTATTTCAGTAGCTTTTTTCTGTTATTTTTGTCACTGCCCTCCCAGTCTGTCTTCATTTTTGAGACTCTTATTTACCATGTAGAAAGGAGAATCTAAACACTGTGTGCAAGATGAAGAATGAATAAAAATTGACAGCAGCTTTTCCAGCATTTTGTCTAATACATTGAGGCATGACACAACAACAACAACAAAAATTCTTGGCGTGCTAGTGTAAGTTCACACCAGCCTGGCTTTTGCAGCCCTCTTATTTCCCTCTGCCACAACTTTGCCGCTGCTATGACACTTGCAGGCCTGCTCGGCCGTGGTGCAGCTGATGCCCTGTCCATGCTCATATTTTTCTTATTGACAGTGAGTGTTCTTGCCAAACGCCAGGGACCATAGTCACATCTGTTTGTCTCCTAAGCTTGTCTGAGGCTGCTTGGGAACACTTTTTATCCAGAGGGCAGCTTTAACTAGGCCTAATACTCTGAAAAGCCTCTATTTGTAAATGCATACAATGAGGCGACAAGTTCCTGTTGTCTTTCCTTAAAAATTATTCCATTTGACACTGCTTGCTCTAGTCCCTGTCACCAGCACGTCAAAAGCCAGGTTTTCAGGCAAGGTGGTCTTAACAAGTTTTATTTTTTCCCTAATAAAATGCCTAGCTTCCCTCCAGAGCACTATTTATAAATGATAGCTAGAAGCAAGCTAGGGGTAAGTAGAGAGAAGGCAGGCAAATAGCTTGCTTTCTTTCTGTAATCCACGCTCTTGTGATTTAATGCTAAGAAACATAATGCTGAACCTAGCCTGATTGAGGGTCAGAGTTCTCCCTACTTTATAATACCCCCATTACAGACATTTCAAAATGTACTCTGCAGATTCACAACTCTGCTTCTTTTTGTCTAACCTGCCAGTTCCAGAGCATTAATAGTTCTTGTCTGATGCTCTCTAAATAAATAAATAAATAAATAAGAGCTTTTTGTTTTGCTGTGATTTGCACTGGCAGAGAATATCAAATGTTAAGCCCTGGTGAAGACAAATGCAGCTTTACAATCGCAAGTTGGCTGAACATTCGATGGTAGTGGCCATCAAACTGGGTTTGACAAAGCTTAATTGGTGCTCCAGCATATTGTTATTTATTTGCGGTGTAGGGAATTTTTGACGACAACAAAGAAATACCCACTCTCACCTTGGCTGGTGAAGGGGTTGTTGTGATCGGCAAAGGCAAATGATTCATTTCTGCTGAAGGAACAAGGCTGCCTTTCAGACGTTCATTGATTTTAAATTAAAAAGTAACTGCTGTGTTCTACATGAAGGGTGACAACAATAACAAAGTAGTCCTTACTTAGTGTTATTTGTTGCAACTCCATTCCCTGTGCCTGGAGGAAAAGTGGGGAGACCCCAGTACCATAATCTTACAGATCAATAATCTAGATATCTCAATGTAGTGTAACAGATAATCAATTCTGGTAAAATAACTCAAATGCTGCTCACTGTTACTGCTGTGGCTCAGGTCTTCAAGTTCAATTGCCTGACTTTATTAATTTTTATCTTTCATCCTACTTGTATTCCTGGAGATTTTCTCCTTTTTTCATTCAGAAAACAAGAGTTTAACACTGTAGAACGTATAATTTATCACATGATTTATTCTGCATGTTTGATGCTAATGTTAAATACTGATCTGTTGGTGAACAGACATCTCAAATATCTTTTCTCTAATTACAGTTTCCCCATATTGTATCTAAATATTCATTTTCTTTATTGTACAATCAGTTATGAAAGGGTTACACTTCTTTATTTCTTTCTAAATTCAGAACTGAAAATTATCATCCTGGTAGTTTACTAGTTCAACTGTGTTGAGTTTCTGGATATTAAAATAGGATAAAATTTCATGTTGGAATTGCAAGGAGAGTGTGTCTTAAAACAGAGGTAAAAAGGTGTTTAAATAAAGGTTCACTGGGTGAAGCTAGAGTGCACTTTTCAGTGAAACATAAGTTTCTTGGAATATTTTATTATTTAAACACAGCACTGTGGTACTTGTTAATTTACTGTATCTTTTTGGAAGAAAAAAGAAGAGGATTTTACATTGTCATCTTGCTCATCAAGGCATTGTTGTCATTCTTTTACATTATTGAGCAGATCTGAGGTCTCTCAACAGTATATGACCATTTGTTATTCATTTAGAAGTAGCCCAGCTTTAAAAAGTTTATAAATGCCATAAAGGGTAAGTCATATATCCACACTGAAACCAGATCCCATGAGTGACAGTGTTACTATGCTGCAGTGGATTGTCAGATGCAATTTTCAGCTTGTAACTTTATCAAAATTCACTACACTTATGTGGAAGAAACACATTTCTCAGTTACATTTATAGATATATATTAAAATTGTGCAGTTCAGAATTTACTGCATTTTCCCCCACTTCTGTTCTGGTTCTTTCAAAAAAAAAAAGTCAGCTACAGATATTCAATTCAGCAGGCATTATGTATTACTTCATGAAAAATAATGACTGCAATTGTCCTTTGAGATACTTTTCCAAAAGTCAACAACTGAAAACTCCGAATTTACCATTTTCTGCCACACTGACTTCTGTTAGCTGGGTTTAATGCAATAGCATTTGCTTGTTTGCCATCCTCTGCATCTCCATCAATTTTCCAGTCTCCAAGTGGAACCTCAGTTGTTCAAGAAGCCTACTAGATACTGTGCTTCTGTGGTCTTCTCATGATTTCCCAGTGAATTAGAAGAGGATAAATTTTTATGCTACAAGTTTTTTTCATGCACCCTTGAAGAGTTTACTGTTTCATGTTTTCTCATTCATTCTTCATCTTACCTTAAAAAAAATTGATAATATTTTCCATGTAATAAATGCTGCTCTGACAGTCAAGCATTACCAGCCAATTGATAACCTACAAACAGCATTGTGATCTCTTTAGATAATTAATCTTAGCTATTTTCCTGTCAGGAGCAACAGTGTTTTTGTTTTATGTTGAGCTAGAAAGATTGCCAGTTTTGAAAATTAAAAAGCATTCCCTTTATATTTATATTTATTCATCCCAGTAACAATTTATGATGCTGCATTTAGATACTGAGAGCTTGTCAACAAACATGATTATGTTTCGATATAAACAAGATTGGTGGCTTGACTGTGCAGCTTCATCTTGGTTGAGAATGTTTTGATATAGGTTCAGATTATACAAGCTGTGTATTTATGTGGCAGTTTTCTTCCTTTGTTAATAGTTTTCTCCTATAATTACTTGCAGGCAAACCAGTGTACATTTAGGATCATTGTGCATGGGAGACATCAAGCGGAGAAGGAAAGCTGCTCCCCTGCCAGGACCCACAGGTAACCAATTTTCCTGGGACAGAGCACAAACCACAAGATGTTAAATCTCTAAATACAAAGCAGTAGGTCAGTGACTTGGGGAAAAGCTTGATAAATTCAGTAACTTCCCATATAACTTCAGATATATTCTAGCCGTATTTATTAATAAAGATTAAGAAATAAGTAGGCTCCCTCCATTCTCCCACAATCATTGCCAATTTCCAGTCCTTTGTAGCGCAGCACTTCTGTAAAGACAGTAAATCTTTTTTCATATACTGAGACAGCAAAGATTACTGCTTATGTCTCTTCAAACATTACAAGGGAAGAGACCTGAGGCGTCTTGTTTTCTGCATATGAATGCTCTAAAAACCCTGCACAATAAAGTTAGGATGTGAATTCTTGGGTAAACAATCGAAAATGTGGTGATAAAGCTGTGAAGCACAGCTTCAAAATTAGTGCTGTAGATTAAAAAGGAAGCACTTGGAAACACATTTCTGAAAGATTTTTGCAGATGTGAGGTCACAACCATTGGATGCATTTTGCTGATGTCACATCTGTGAAATGACTTTTTCAATACTTAGCAGTGATTTATAGGACTCTAATCAGTTTGTTGTATTAATTATATATGTGCATAGTGGAAGGATTAGGTTGTATGTGTGCCCATGTGAGACTTTATATATATTACTAATATAGAAATCTGGATTTCATGTCCTAGTCATACATAAATTACTGCAGCAACATTTGCAGCACGTAGAATTTTCAAATATAATTCAAGTAGATGTCTTTAGAGAAGCCTAACTTGTATTCTGACTGAATTCCCCCTCCTGAAACTTCTTTGTTTCAAACCTCAGTGGCAGAAACAGACCAGGAATAATATTAAAAATGTTATAAAAGCACCTTAGTGGCAGCAGTATGAAAAGAAAGAGAATCTATGGGTCAGCTTCTAAGACTCTGAACATATGTGAACCAAGAAAGAAAAATACTTAATGGCTGAAGAGAGAATAATGTAATTATTTCTACAAGGTGATTTTCACTTCACAACTTTCAAGTACTAGAGGATGTCATTTTGTACTGAGAGGTTATCAAGTATCATGAAATTAATTTTATTATTCACTTTACCTTGGACTTTCAGCATTCAGAATTTTATTTTACAAGCTGGCTCTTCTGCATAACTTTGCAAAGCAAATATTTTGATGCTAAGGCAAATATGTGGTCATTCAATATTATGTGTCTATGTGTGCATGAACTCACAGTTTTGGCAATTGTTTTGCCCCAAAGTTTGCCTTTATATGAAGAGCAACAGAGAATAACAGTGGATTAAGGTATCACATGAAGTACCTTTTAACTGATTGCTTTCTTTTTCAAGTTCAAGGTAATTTTTTCAATTTTGTTGTGATCTGGAGGATTGAGAATTTTTTTTTATAGTCTTAGGAAAGTTTTTCTACACTTCATCCCTGTGAGTTTTTGAACTAATAGAACCCTTGGTAAACATTGAATAAGCTTGTATCTATGTGTAGGTAATGTATAGCATTCTAGAGATTATTGACATTTTCTCAGAGGCTAGCCTTCCTACAGCTGAATTACTGTTTATCCATCACAGGCCTTGTTTTTTGTCAGTGTTCCATAGGATTTTATGAAAGAAGTGGGGTTTTCTTTTAGAATTAATATACATCTGGAAATTTGGATTAAAATAAGAGATTGCTTATTCGATTATTCTTTTTTTAGTAGTTTTAGTTAGCTAAGATATGGGAATAGAAGGGTTTGATTTTATGTAAAAGAATTTGTGAATTTCTTTCTTGAAAGAAGAAAAGGACAGAAGTTGTTAACATTAACAGAAGCTGGAAACTAAAAACACATTCTCCTAACAATTATTCATATTTAATATCATTGCAAAACCTGAAAGGCTGTCTGTAAATGGCTCATGTATTGCAAATGTTTTCTTTACATGGACTGCAAAGTTTGATCTGAATCAATGTGTTGGTAAGAGTATTTTCTAAATTCTCATCTGCATTTGGAAAAAAATGCACTGGTAAAATAACTCTTGTAAAAATCTGCATAGTGCTGAAAATGAGTATTTATGCCTTTAGGTTCAGTAGTACTGATGAGAACCAGTGGTGATCCTAACGAGGTATCAAAACGCGTTCCCTGGGTTTGAGTCTCACAAGGGTAGCACCTGCTACTTTCAGACACCTTACAAAGCCAGACTTCTGTAGCAAACAGTGTGATTGGTCAAACATTTATTAATTGTGACAAGAACACCCAATTTATTTCAGTACTCCAGCTTATTTACTGCTCTTTCACCTTTGTATTTCGTATTGAAAAAGTAAAATGAATATTGATAGAGTTAGATATTGATTTCTAAATTTATAGCCTGTTCTCAGCCTGCAGTCAAAGTCACATACCAAAAGGTTTGTTTATATTAGTAACAAAGGATGTAGCTTTACTTGTACAGCACTGAGAAACTATTGAAGCACGAAAGTTTGAGCAGCACAGACCATTTTATAGTTTCAAAAATGTCATTTCTAAAGGTGAAGAAAAGACGTGTTGAATAGCAGTGAAGAAAATGGGAGATAATATAAGCATGGATGGTTAGGAACTGACAATATTCAGATAAAGAAGTGTCATATTCCATCTTTTTTCCTAGGATAAATTTTCTATTTTGTGGATGTTTCATCTATCCCATATGTGTATTGTTAAACCTAAATAGTTAATTAATCAACTGAAAACTGGTACTAGTAAAAATTGATTACTTCCCACAATTGAAGTATGAGGTGTTGTACATTTTAAATGCTCTTTTTGCATGACTCCTTCCATGAAACCAATATTATTCCAGTGATTCTGTTCACATGTGAGAGCAGGTCATTCTCAATGACCTTCTGCCCCCTGTGACTACCTGAGTGGTAGAGCTGTTTCATGTGACACCCTGACATATTTCACTGCCGCAATACAGTGCTCTCAAATTTGTATAAGGACCTTTTAGACAAACTATTCCATTGTCATGGAAATAGCCCTACCAATACTGGGTCCAGTTTAATGAAAATAATAATAAAAATAGCAACCACAACAACAGCAACTAAAAGTTGCTAGAGAAAGAACATTCTTTGCAAGGTAGTGTTATTCTTGAAACACATGTACTGGGAATATTTGCAGTAATTTCAGTCTTAGATTATCTAGTTTAAGTCTCATATCAAACCAATAGGTGCTATGGAATTTTAGATACCATACACTGAATATGCATTTATCACAGTTCCTTTCTAATTGACTTTTCTGTACAGGATTTTTTGATTTTTATCATTTCCTGTTAAATCCCTGAGATATTTCAGATTTTTATTTTTTTTTAATAACAAACCTCTAAGTCTTAAATGTTGTGGAAAAGATCAAATTCTGCTTCACTTCTTGTATGTGTATGCCTTGTGAAAATTAATCTATTTCTATTTCTAAACAGTCTTTTTTCTTTGGTGTTGCATGGTGCGGTATACAGTTTGGAGCAGTGTTAAAAACCTTAAAAAGTTAATTATATGAAGAGAAAGCTATTTTGTAGTTAACATGTAGAAAATGTTTATATAAAATAGATAAATTACTATGTGTGTAATAGGCACTTTAATGCTTACCTTTTGCAAAAACAAATTTCAGATGTCATATTCTTTATCTAGTTGGCATGTTGCATGCACATGCTACACTTCAGGCTGGTCCTGATTGAAATGACCAAGTTAAAAGTCTCATTTTAAAGAATGTGTTTTAATGAAAAATATGACAGTTTCTTAATTACAGCAGAAATACTGAGCACTGCTATAATGCCATCATGACTCACTTTAACAAGGTAATCAAAAGGGTACATGTTTTCATTCCTTTTTAAAAATTGCCAGTGGAACAGCTAAGCAAACTATTTTGCTGATGCTTAATATGTCAGTGATTAAAAATCAGACCTGAATATCTGCAGAACCAAAATGATGATTTGAAAAAGATTGTGATTACAGTGTGATAACAGAGGTGGCTGAGGCTAAGTTTGTGGTGAAGGTCAACTTAGTGTGATAGTTTCAGAGGAAAGGTAAACTTTTGGGTACTTGGATCAACGGACCATAAATTTCCAAAACTTTGGACAAACTACTATAAACCTATTTTCTTTTTAACTTGATACACTGCTTTTCTGTCTACCAACTGTACAGCTCTGTAGGGAGAAATCCCTTGTCACGGGGCAATTCAAAATTGGCATGTTGTGAATTCTTTCATTGCACCATTTCTTACCCTTTGTCTGCCAAAGTCCTTCCTGGCATACACTTCATGGTGACTTGGGTGTCCAGCCCACGGACACTCATTTTTCTTTGGTTGGTATCTGCAGCAAGCTAAATTTTAGGGACTTCTTTTGTGTTTCTTTTGTTTCTTCTACCAAATTGTCTCACTAAACTAGAAGTTAAAAGATTGCAGAGTGCCATCCAATATTGAAACCTGCTGTCCCTTCACAGCAAAAGGCTTTCTGTGTTGAGCTTGAGATGGCTAATTCAGGCAAAGCATCTTACATATAAGCACCAGAGTTCAGAAAGTTCACTAACAAACTTCAGAAGACCTACAATTCAACCAGAACAAGCTTATCTTGGAAAGTTGCTGATGTGTTTCTGGTGATCTAAAGAGAAGACTGTATATTCTACAGGCTGTACACAAAGCCAAGCAGAAACATTCAGATTGATAAGGATGACTGTACCTGTCTTTTCTAAGTGCTGTTGTCTTCTGAAATGTGGAAGCTTCAAAAATAATTCCCTGAATTACTCTGGGAGTCTTTCCTAAGATAGCTGTTTCTGGTTATGGAAACCATTCAAATTGTTTCTCCCGGGAGCTGAACTTCATGATCCTTATGGGTCCCTTCCAACTTGAGATGTTCTGTGATTCTGTGGATTTTTTGGTTTCATTTTCAAGAACCGTAAACCAGCTGACCAGAGAATATAACTAATGAGAGCACCCTTAGTATAGTGGAAATTTGGGGGAGAAAAAAAGGCTAAACCAGGCATTATTTTCAAGTTTCAAAG